GAGAAACTTCAATCTACATCTTTCAAGTACTAAAAACATACCTTAGAAGTACAGAACTTAAAATACAATACATTTGGCTAAAAACAAAGTTTAAAAGTACACGATTCTTTCAAGAACAGTGGAGTTGTCTAGAAGCAGACCTTAGATGCACAAGACTTTCAAAATTAAATAATTTAGCTTAAAACAACTTTACAACATTCTTTAAGGACAGAATATTTGGTCATAAACTGTAAAGTAGAAGATAAATGTGGTATCAAAAAATAAGAGCATCTTTTCACACAGAGCAAATGGCGAAAATAAAAAGTCAGCCCTCCAGGAATTATTTTTCAAATAGACTTTTTTAAATATTGATTTTAATATATACCATCCTATTTAAAGACAGAAATAACTTATTTCAAAAAAGTGTTTCGGGAAATCTTCCAAAAACATGAAATTTAATTGCATGAACAATATAATTGAGAAACTGGCCGAAAAAGGAAAAGGTGTCAGGTAAGCATAACAAAACAAACGGGTCTAGAATTTCATTGAGGAAAAAAATGTTAAGATCATTAGTGGCAGATATTTAAAAAAAGATATAGGATAATTCCTTTTTCGCAATTTCTTTGCTTAGCGACAAAAAGAAAAAGAAAAAAGATGACGGAAGGCTGTCTTCTTCAAACAGCCGCTGATGTTAAAGGCGTAAGTCTACTTTACTCGCGTGGCTCTTTTCTTATTTTCCTATTGACTCTTTTGTTTCTCGAAGTTTCTCGGTTTCTCTTTGTTCCTCGCGATTCTTTTTTGTTTCTCGAAGCTTCTCGGATTCCCTTTGTTACTCGCAATACTCTTTTTTTTTCTCGAAGTTACTCGCGATACTCTTGTTCCTCGAAGTTATTCTCAATTCTCTTTTGTTCCTCTGAAATACTAATGTATGGAAAATTGGCGAAATAAAATGAAACTAATGCGTATTGTTATATATATAGATATATTATTATAAATATTATTGTTATATATATTATTATTATATCACCAATTCATGCGTATTTTCCCCCAACTTTGCGCCTCAGTAGTCGCTGAACTACAATTCCGATTTTTTTTTTTGTAACTTCTGTTGTTACCCTCTATCTCTAAAATAAGACATTAGTTACGTTTTTAACATATGTAGTTACCGATATATAGAGGATCTCCCATCCAATGTTTTTTGTGGCGTTTTGGAGTGGGAATCAAATTTCCTCCTGAGACCCCAATTGGAGAAACGTAGACCTACGGTAAAAATGTGGTCACCTCGAATATATCGAGAATAGCCAAACGCGCCGGAATGCAAAAATTACTAAACTAAGCTAAGAACCAAACCAAGAAAGAGTTGTCAAGGGAAAAAAAACTAAATGTGTACCGATACTTTAACCCTCATTTATTTTGATTTGATTTTGGGGCTTTTTTGTTAAATCTTGCTATAGAGTTAGAAAAGTATGATGAGTGATTTCTAAATGAATTAATAAGGTAAATGAGGTACAGCACCTGCACGTTTAAAAATAGAAAATAAAAGGGGAATCTTCAACTCTTTTAGTGAAACCTTTTACTTTTCAGTTAGCAGAGAAGCATGTATGTTGATATACGTGCACTAAGTACTTGCTCGTATTTCAGTATTACTTATGGTTCTAAGTCACTGTTTAATTTCTTTTTGTGCAATTTCAAGATTCTCGTATAATGCATGTTTTACTGCGATTGAAATCTACTACAAATACTCCACAAAGGCATATAAAGTTGTCCCCATAGCCAACACAACGACAAAAAGAGGATGGCTGGTGATGTAGTCGTGTTGGTGATAGTGCGATTTGGCATGTCTTGGCAAAGTTAGTGCACAGGTTTCTAGCTTGGTTGCAATCTAGAAGTTGGTAACATCTAATCTTTAGTTTTAACCTCTTTTAAAGTCGCCAAAGCTAATGTAAGTATTACTTACATTAACTTTGGCGCCAATGAAGTGTAGCGGGCAAGGTGTTGCGTTGGCGATATAACGTCGTTTTAAGAGTGTGTACCAACTTCTAGATTTCAACCTCTAGCTTTTGACCCCATTTATAATCAGGCTACTATTTATACCTGACGACAATTGCTGTCTGGCTAAGGGAAAAGTACTAAAGTTTAATGAAGCTGATGCGACACTATGCAAAAGTAACTTTTATTTATTATTAAAATTTATGCAACTGGTTGCAACTTGTATCTGCTGCACTAAGAAATCATATGAAGGCTCATAACACGTGTCGTCCAAATATTATAACCAAAGAAATCAGATTTTTGAACTTTATACTTGCAATGTTTTAGGTATTGTGTGGCATTCAGTAAAATCTTTAAAACAAATTTCGAAAAAATAAAAAATAATGAAGAAAATATTATACAAAGAACGCATGGAAAGATAAAGAGTTATACATTTTAATACTTTTTCTTTATTTTGATCAATCGCATTATTTATATTAAGTTTTCTACATTCTAAGTGCAATACCAGTTAGGAAGGAGATTTCATAAGCATATTTAAACATAAAATGAATATTACATTACTTGTCGATATTATAAAATTTATAGTTTATCTTTAAAAATATAGAGATAAGAAAATCATGGTACCTTATTTTAAAAACTTCTTCTTTACTTTTAAAAATTATGCTTAACTATAATATTTCAACAACCAAAACAAAAGACAAGATTATTTAAAATACTTCGCTAATGCCACCGAGTTAAACGAAATCCCGTATCCAGGTGAAACACGGAAAAAAAATTTCTTTATCTGAAACTGAGCTAGATTTTAGTCGTGCTCAAAATTCTCAGATTCTAAAATTCAAATCTGATTTCATCTTTTTGAAGATAAGGACCGACTAGATTCCAGCAACCAAGCCTAATCGTTATATCCATTGCCCTTAAAGTGGTCTACAAGTAAAGCATAAGGTTAAAATCAGTGATTACTATACATTTTTTGTTGTGTTTATGTTTTTTTATGTCTGGTTAAAATAGAGAGAGAATTTTTATAAAGTATATATCCCCCCCTTTATGCCAGAGACAAGAATGTGTTTAATTCAAGCATTAAAGGTTACGATATTGTTACGAAAATCGTCCAGTGAAATTAATCCGACGACACCACCATTATTACACCAACCAGAGACGCGAGAACCTGCTTATTTATCCATCAATTTCTCGTCCCCATTTCTGAGGTGACCCTTGGTGGGTTTTCAACAGCAGGTCAGTATTTCATCCATTATATATTGTAACAAACATCTTCTGGTGTGTGTACGATGAAAACAGTCGAACAAGCAGAATAATTTAGAATGGCACATTATTCTCGAATATTCCGGGAAAACACTAAGCGCAGGTCACAGGAAAAACAGCACTCACACAAATTAACAACACAAACAGACAGCAATTCACTTATAAGAACAGCAACAGCACTTTCAGTATCGCTTGGCGTCTATCAGCTTAATAGCTCGCACTGCGAATCAAACTCGCAAAAAGAGATTCCAAAGGCGTTCGCATTCCAAAGACAATTACAGTCGATCAACACGTTCCCAGAAGTTCAGTAATTGCGGTATTTATAGTCTTCCCGACTGGGAACATGGAATCATCCAGTACATTCTGTATATCTCCTCTCCTAATTGAGATATCGAGAAAATTCTAGTACTTTTGAGGACCTTCATTTTGTCGCCAAAGTGGTCGCCAAGGTCCTGGGGTGGATGAACGGAAAACTCGTAACGTTGGGGGTAAGACTCAAGAGTGGAAATATTATTGTCTCAGGGATATAGCAAAAGAAATTTTCAGCAGCAGAAATTTTCTTTTATGGTTAATTTAATTTACATGCTATGGATCTTTTATGGAGCGAATGTAAGTTTTGCAGTTGCGTCATTGCAGATTTGTAGTTTTCATTTCATATTAACTAGTAGTTATAAGAAGTAATCTCCCCTCGGTTTTTTTTTTCTTACACAATACGAGACGTTTGTGGCTAGCTTTGTAGTATAGTGAAGAAAATCGAGTATGTATTTTGGATCTCTTCCCTTTGACTGACAGCGTCCGAAATTAAATACGCATCTGCAATTTTGGTGACAAGACGATATACCAAATTTCATTTACGTAGCTTATTGTGATTTTGTGTCATCAGGTTCAGATACACAGTGTCTTATTAAAAAACATCCACTTTGCCCTTTGACACATTTAATCCAAAATTAGACTAACACAAACTATAATTTTGGTGTAAAAGTCACTTATTGAAAAGTTTATTGCGTTTTAGAATTAACATGCGTACATACTCACGAATAAACAGATCAACAGACATTCAACCCTTTGACGAATTGTCACAACAATCGTTCGGTGGGTGCACGATGAATGCAGTCCAACAAGCAGGATAATGGAAAATGACGCTTAAATTCACGAATATTCCAAAAGACACGAATCACTGGTAACAAATAAAACAGTGATTGTATAAGTTAACAAAACAAGCAGACAGAAAATCACCAATAATTAACAGTAACAGCACTTTCAATAGCGTTCAACATCTATCAGCTTACCAGCTTAAGATTCCAAAGAAATCCTTAAAGATCTCCCCTAATTTCAGAACCTTCGGGTATTTATATTTACAGAGCGTGACGTCATATGGAATTCCCTAGAAAGATCTCTGTATCCCCAATCCTAGTAGAGATAGGACCATAATTCTAATATTTTCTAGAACCTTCATTTTATTGCTAATTGTTCGCCAAGGTCCTGGGTCATTGTCTTCCATTCCATTACAAATCCTTGCAAATCCCCTTTTCCTACCATAAGACTAACTTGGCAGGAAAACAGCATTACATTAGTAACAGTATGTACATTTTTGATGATAAGCCAAACGCCAAATTTTATCCCTCGACATTGTTGCGTTTTTCAGTTTTCGTGGTCACGTGGAAAAAGGCGAATAAACAGTACTTTACATAGGCAGATTTTGTCCAAAATGTGATAAAAATTTACGATTTCGGTGTAAAATTCGCATGTCAACTCATGTGCGTTGGTCAAGCGCCCGAGTAGCTCTGTCGGTAGAGCACCAAACTCTTAATCTCGGGATCGTGAGTTCGGTCCCCATGTTGGGCGATGGCCCTCGTCCATCCCTGTACACTCTGAACTCAATGGGTGAGTTGATGGACGTGGGATATGACCACGTGTCTTGGCCATTTCATTTTTGAGTAATCATGCTCACAGACATAATACTAAAAATGTCTTTTTTTTTAACTTTGGGAAGTTTGAAACGCGAAGATTCATCCAAAACTCGAGATCGAATGTCCTTGCTAACTCATTGTATATTTCGTATATAATAAAATTAAAAAATTCATAAATTAATTTTGCATTCAGTGTATCCAGTCTAATCGTGGCATAATTGCTAATTTCCAAACTATTAGAGATAGGTGTACTTCTAATTTGAAAAAAGCTTGAAATGTCGCAAAGAATTCTATTCTATGTTGTTTGAGTCCATAAATATTTTGCTGAAAATTTTTTATACAGTCCCTTGGTCCTATAAGTCATATTTAGTAAAATATTCTTGACATACAAACATTTCAAACAAAAAAATGTTCCATTCTTCTGCGATTAAAACTGACTGAGTTATGAACCTTTGAATTTCAATATTTTTGGCCAATCAATGGCCTCCAGTTCTTCGAGTAGTTCGTTGATTGGATGATCATCCTCCACGCGCACGTTAAAATGGTCTAAAATCATTAAAAGGAATGATATTCAATTCTTTAGAACTCGGCCAGTTTTAGTGACAGAAAAGAGGAACTTTTTTTCGTTTAAAATATTAGTGTATTTGACTAAATATTAAATTTTTAAAAATATTTTTACTAAATATTACTAATGTATAAATATAACCAAATAATGGTTATCGGTTTGAGAGAAAGTTTCATTTTTGCTTGCAAATTTCAACAAATTCCAAAAACGATTCAAAATTTCTTTTGCATTGCGAGGACACAAAAATTACACATCAGTTTTAAATTCCATTGATGATACCAGGTACATAAGATACATTTAACCAAACAATGGCAAACGATTTTCGAATTTTCGTCTTTATGTGCAAAATTTAACAGATTAAAAAAACAATTTAAAATTTCAGTGGTGTCGCAGATGCAAAAAAATGAGTCAATTCTCAATTTCATGGTCGAAGCCAGGTGCAACAATAAGCCAAATATGGCTGACGAATTTCGAGATAATTCCATTTTTAGCAGTGCTTAATTAGATTATAATTATCATTTCAACTCCATTTCTATAACCAAGATGCGGGATGCATGTAAACACAATCATACGTGATTCAATATGTGAATCTGTGCCCTTCTAGAACACTAGAGTGACCTTTTCGAATTTTTATCACCACTCTCCGTCTAGTAAACCCATTCATCACGTTCCCATTCAGAATCCTATCCACAACACAAGCAGTTTATTTTGATCCGTCAGCGTTTTTAAAGTTGTGATTCACTCCCTTTGTTCGAATATCAACGCTCTACGTCTACTTGATTTGTTAATCTGTGTTTTTTTCTTCAATGCATTGTCACCCTCGCTACGTCTGCTTTCGTGAAAGTTATATCAGAATCAATATTTTGATTCCGGCTCGCGGCGAACGAAATGTGAAATCGGAAATATTTCCTCGGATCGACTTTTCATATACAGGGTTACGATAACTAGGGTTGTCATAGTTGCCAAACACTGATACGGGACATTTCAGTGCTAAATAAATAAAACATGGGATAGCAGCCTTTGTTGCTTCAAATCCCATAACTCTATATAATTCAAATTCAAAATTCTAAATAAAATGTGAGAAAAGTGAGTAGGTAATAGTTTATATTACTCTGATAAAAAATCAATAATGTTTAAGCAATCTATTAAAATGACCACGTAGAATAATAGAAAAGATGCGAGGCTAATCCTTTTTAACCCAGCCATAATTTAAAGTTGATTTTACTGCCTTAATTATATCATTTTCTTATCTCACATAATTATAAAATTAGGCGCAAGTCATTTTAAAATTGTAATAACAAATCAAAATCGCTTCAATTGTCTCCCCTGGCAACCTGTTTCTTTCATCCGACTGTCGAATTGGTATCAGGCATTTGGCATTCCGCGCCTGTTGGTATTAGGCATTTGGCGAGTTGGCTGGCATTTGCCATTCCAGTCCACATTTACAATGTGGACAGGAATGGCAAATGCGCATTCGCTTTATTAGAGATGACTTCTGATCAATATAAGGAGGAAAAGGGATGAAAACGGGACGAATAGTAATACGGGGCTGAGTAGTGAAATAGGGTGACAGTTCCGTATATACGGACGTATGGTAACCCTAACTATAACTAAATTTCGCCTATTGAGAATTCCCTAAGGGCTCCATATGAAACAAAATTTCACTAGTACAATAAAACTTCGATTAACTATCAATCGTTTAACCGTCAGATTCTTTTATCCGTTATCGTCAAAGCAACATAAGTTAATAGTATTACAATATATTTCTGTACATTACTACTCTTGTATTGAAGTTTACATTGATCGTTTTGTAAAATTAAATACAGCATGTATGCAATGTTCACATTTAAAGGATTTTATTTTCATTTTCCTCCCAAGTCAGCAGTGAAATTACGTTACTGTTCATAAATATTAAGAGATTTCTGCTATCCGGCTATTCGGTTATCCGTCACAGCCCCGGTCCGGTCAGTGACGGTTAATTAAAATCTTACTGCAGCGTTTCTCAACCTGAGGGGCGCCCCCCCCTAGGGGAGCATGATAACGCTACATGGGGAGAGCGAGCATATCGAAAAGAAAATATTATTTAAAAAAATGATAATTTACTGAAATAAAAGTAAAACAAAATACATTCTACATTATAGAAAATAAAATACACATTTACAGTGACTTAATGCACTTATAAATAGGATTATATCAGTACTGCACAAAGCATTATTATTGTATACATTGTTATTGTATGAGATGGGGAAGGGCGCGATGAAAATTATGATTAAAAATTGGGTCGCAATTACTGAAAGGTTCAGAAACACTGTCTTACTGTATGTTGAACGAGTGAGACATTGTGTGAAAACCAAAAAAAAAAGGCAAAATTTCCGTCAACAGGTGGCGTTGCACCAATATCTGAGGCGATTGTTGAGGAATTTTTTTATTATTGCAGCAAAATTGAATAGTTCATTTCAGATTCTTTTTCTTTTTAGTTTCATTAAAAACTCTGCCGAAATTCAGTCGCAAAGTCTTTTTCTTTTGTTCAAAATTCTGTTTCTATGCAAAACAGTGCACCGCCTCACGCTTCCTTTTTCTTGTCTTCATACAGCTCATCACTTTTACTACATCATAGTGAAATTTTATTCCGTTTGGAGCCGTAGAATTGGCTCCAAGTTTGGCGTAAAAATCACATATCATATTTTACGGGGGTCTGAGGTGGCCTAGTGGTAAGGTCTCGGCTTCGGGGTCGGAGGGTTTCAGATTTGAAATCTGACTCTATCGAAGACCCACTGTATATGTGAGCCTATTGCACGTTAAATCATACGGAGGGGGACCAAACGTTCTCCCAATGGCGTGGTGAGGAAGTTTAAAAGAGGGGGATGCCAGCTTAGTGTTAGCTTAGTCTAGTGTTGCTTCAAAAGGGGACGTTAATATAATTAAAGTAAACAAAATTTTACCCCGCTAACCGTGTTCACAGACAGACAGATAAAATTTCAAAAATGTGTTTCACACTACTTCCTCTTTTTATACTTCGTATATCAGAAAACTGGAACGCAACGAGTTCGAGATGAGATGGAGTATAACATGAAGAAACAAATCTTTTGTTAAAAATTATCATATGCTATCGAATAATTACTATTAAAGATCATCAAAATTAGCAAGATTAAAGTTCCTTTAATAGATGATTTCCTCTTCTTTGAAACCGTTTATATTCATGTTATGCTACAAGGTTTGAAGCAATACCTATTCGTTTTCCTTTGAAAATTAATTCTTTACTCATATTAAATACTAGCTTATATACCCGGCGTTGCTCTAGGTGGAAATATTTTCAAGTCTAAGTACTTATAACACTTTAAATTTAAACAGCTTTTCAATGTAACGTCTTACGATGATTTTCTTTTTCTCTCTCCTGTGTCTCTGACCCCTCGGATAGCAGCTAAACTAACTTCTTCTTTTTGTATCCGTGCTTTGAACCACTTCACACGAGTCTGACATTCCTTGGAATTCCATCTTCCCATCCCCATCATTGCTACCGAGACAACCGAAATACTTCATATCATGCTTTTTGTGCCCCCCCCCCCCATTCTCTTCTTTTTGGTGTTTGCGTGCCTGACCGGAAGCATTATTCCTCCTTTTTCTCCTTAGGCCTTCTCTCTTCTGTAGAAATGGGACTCGGTTAATCTTTAATGACTTTCCATAATGACAGTGGCGTAGAGTACTATGATTTCCCTTCCCCGCTTTCAACAAAAGAGCTTAATTTGCGTAAACGCCTGGAAATGGTATTTTTCGTCTCTTTATTGTATTTGACTTTAAAAAGTGACACAAACATGTTAATCTTTTGTGAACATGGGCAATGGCGCAGCGTGGGTAACTAGCTCCCAGGGAATATGATTTTTTTTTATCCCAGTCGCATTTGCTTAGCAAGTTCAAATGGCCCTGGGGACCTGTTATTATTTTTAAGCCCCCTAATCATATTTTGCTTTAAAAACTGACATAAATGTTTTGTCTCCATTACATCACCAAAACTGGCATCTGCGACATCTATACTTCACTTACTCCACGGTCACTACGCCACTTCACACAGATTAGAATCATTCAAAAATTTGTGAAATTTAAACGAAACATCGTGTAGCAACTAAACTAACGTCATTGTATATTTGAGTGCATATTAAAAGCTATGAAATAAAAACGGAAGTTAAATGCATGCTGCGAAATAACAGCGGAAGTAAGAAGTCTACCTTGACCAAAGAAAAGCAATATTTTCTAACTTTAACAGTGGTAAAAACACGTGAATAAATGATTTGATGAAACAATAAATCGTTTGAATTTAAATTTCATAAGAATAAAAGCTTGTTACAATTTGAGTTTAAAATGAATTTTGAAAC